ATGGTGAGGATGTATTACCCCCCACCCTTTTTCACTGAATCATCCCAGCCAAGTCTCTTAACTGCTTCATACCTCCTTTTCCTTGTTACAAAGTGTGCAGGGTGGGGGATAATAAACCTGCCTCACAGGGTTGTTCTGAGGATTAAATGAGTTTACATATGTAAAACAGGCAGATCAGGGCCTGGCACCAAGTAAGGCCTATAAAGATGATTGCTGTTATTTTTTCGTTTAATACATATAAGGCATTTATAACCATGTTCAGTAAATGTTAGAGATTGTTTTTTATTACTATAGGATCTATAAAACATGGTCAAAGATGGCTGATCCATGAACCTAAGTTCTAGCTGTTTGAAAATAACTTCAGACTCAGAATGATTTCTTGGACCAGAACTAACAGTTATTAGCAGTGGTTGAGGTGGCAATAAAAGTCCGTCTGTGGCGGGTGGTGGCTTGGCTGGCCGGGACTCTAAGGCCTCACCCAAGGGTCCCCTTAGCAGATGGTTACCTGTTTTTTTAAATACCACAAACTGTATTTGCTCCTGGGTGATCAGTGGACCCCGCTGTGCCCACAGACACAAATAAAATTAAATAGATTGGTTGAAATGTTTAAAATTTGGGCTATTTCATAGAAAACTCTGGATTTTCTGCCCTCAAACAGTTGGGGGATCTACAGCTCTGGGCTTGCTCTCCTGCACGGCACCTTCTGCTGTGCAGAGCTGTCCGTGTCAGACTGTTCATTCCCTTTCAGCCACGGTCCCCACCGGCCCCTGGGTGTTACATCTGGCCCACTTCACTCATCTGTCCTATTGCCTGATCTCAGTAGGCCTCTGAATTTGCAAGTCCTCCTCTTAACTAACATAAGAGAACCATCGCTGAGATGTAGGGCAGGTAGTACCTTTCCACCATGTTAGAAAAAGGTACGTATTTTCATCATGATGTGGAAAGAGATTCTGTTCTTGCAGCCTTGATTTATGACATGTTTCCTCAACCTACAAATGGGGCAGTTCTTATACACTATCATCATGTTTCTAAGTAGTGTTAATTCCTACCCCCCAGGTGGGCCACACCGATGTCCATCCCCTGTTACTGCCAGAAAATGTTCACCAAAAGTGGGAACCATCAGGAAGTGGTATCAAAGGCAGTAGCCTAAATCAGTATGGTATTTCCAGAGTTACACAAAATGTTTGAACACAGATATTTTCAGTAATTATGGCTTTGTAATATAATTCTTCTGGAAGTAATAGTTTTGAATACCAGAGGACTTGAAATCCAACTGTGAGGACATCTTTAGAAGTTGAACATTTGAGAACTCGGGTACCAAGTTTCCATTTCCAAAATTAGAAGCAGAAGAAATGATGGGACTGAGCTTTAGGGCATCCAGGAAGACCGGGGATATATTTTAAATCTCACATGCAGTTGTGTGTGCTCCCACCAAACCATCTCTCTGGCCCGGGCACCTCCTTTTGAGGAAAGCCTTGGGATAACAGGACGTGTTCAGACTACAGTTGTTTTGAAGGAAATGTCCTATAATTTAGGTCCGAGACTCACAGGTGTGTGTCAAGTGTGCCTGGGTGGAAGATGTGTTTTTCAGAAGTAGAGGACCTTCGATCAGTGTCAGAATGGAAACAATTCTCCACTTGCCAACAAGGCAGACGGTTCAGGAGCTGCGTGTTTTCTGGAGCCTTTCTGGACCAAGCAGCAGACCACCATGGTCAGGGGGCAGCGTCACGCAATGCCAATCGCAGGACATGTTTTTTTATCAGCAGAGCTGTATGTTAATGTAACTGTCACATTAGATATTTGCCGCTATGACTCAGTTAATGACTGTCATAAAAGTGTGGCAGTATCTGGCATTTTAAGTGTTTGTGGTGCCTAATGTACACTTTGCAATTGTCAATAGACCACACACATTTAGAACTAATCACATGCAAACTGTGATCATGGGTTTATTTTGTACAACTATCCAAGCTGTGATCAGCACTTGTAATCACAAAGCAAAGAAAAAACAGGCAGTGACAGCAACACCTTCATCTTGAAAGCAGATTCTTGTTCCAAAGTATTGGAAAGTGTTTAAGTGTTTTTCAATAGAAAGGGAATATAATTAGTCAGAAGCAGATTTAACTATGAAATAGTCTGAATCTGGCCTCTACATGTTTTTTTTTCTTTGATGTTTTATTCAGTCCAGTAAATACGCCAAACGGATCATTTTCTGAAGCACTATACCCTGAACATCCAGAGAAGTGGCCGTCTGTCTTTCTGAGTCTCGGCGGTGCATTGTTTTTCATTTGTGATTTTGGGTTGAAGCGGAGTTATACATTAGTTAAAACATAAAGCTGATAATCTTTGTCCCTCTCATCCCAGCAATGCCTCTATTTGTGCTGCCGTCCTGAGCCTTTTCCAAAGGCACCCTCCATGTCTGAAGGGAGAAATCAGAGATTTCTGGAATGTGGTTATAGACCAGGAAGTCTTAATCTGGATTCGATGGATTTCCTAGGGTCCATGGATGGGGTTGGAGGCAAGAGGAGAAAGAGCAGCGCACTTCCCCTAAAAATGCATGTAAGACTTTACAGGCATGTATTTTTTTTCCCCTGGGGAGATTTTCCAGAGCTTTTTTTTTTTGAGCCTGAGAAGGAATATTAAGTATCACAAATTTACAGCTTGCTTAGACTGCAAGGGACCACATGGTGTCTGCAGTCTTCAGTGTGCTGAGGCAAAAAGGCTTGTGACAACTGAGTAGGACTCCCTGAGGCAGTAGGTGCTCATTTGTAGAAAGTCCAGAACAACCTGCCTGCTGGGGTCCTTCTGAGAATGTTGGAATGGACTCGATTCCCCTCCTCTCAAGCCCGATGTGTGGACCCCACCGTGTGTGCGACAGGAGATGCAGCTGTGACAGCCACAGCAGCAGCCCCTACGGCAGCCGCTGACCACCTCCTGACCACCCCCTTTTCTGTCTGGCATCCGGCCTGGGAGACCAGAACTTTCCTGGCTGGGTGGAAAACCTCTTTCCCTTCCAGTGGGAGTTGTATAGCTGATTGGGCCGAATTACTTCTGGGGCTCAGGCAGGTGGAAAAAAGGACATAGGTCCAGGAGGGGACTTTGATACAGACTGCTGCGGCTGGCCAGGCAACCGGTAGAGGACTGAGCAAGGCTCTGAATCTCTTGCGTGTCCTAGAATCCTCATTCTTTTCTTCCCACATCTCTTCTCTTTCTGCTCACCGCCTCCTGCAGAGGCTGCGGAGTTAAATGCAAATTCTCCAAACCTGTTAATGCCGTCCTTCCCCCTCTCTGCTGTCCTTTTCCTGTTTCTTTAAATACCTGTTCCCTCTGTCTTTGTCTTCTTTCCCTCTGTTTCCTATTTCTGTTTTTTCTTATCAATGCCTGGAGTTTGGCGTCTCCTTGTCTTTTGGTTCTCCTTGTCTTCTTGTCGCCAAATGCAGTTCTTTGTTTCTGATGCATTCTCTCCCCCCACCCCACCCCATCTCTCTCCTTCACTCTTTTTGTGTTTTTCTTTCATGAGAAGAAGCAGATACAATGGGAGACTTGAGGGTCTTTGCTCTTTTAAAAGTGGTCTGAAATTTAGAGCATAAGCACCCTTATTTAATTTAACATTGTGTCTAAAGAGATGGCTTTCTGTCTACGGAGACCCCGGGGTAGAGCAGACACGGCCCCCTCAGGAGACAGAGCCCAGCCAGCCTCTGCCCTGGTCAGCTCCCACCAGAGCTCTGGCTTGGGACCGTTCTGGTAGCGCACTGGTTTTCGGAGCCATCACTGGGAACCCAGAGGTGGGCTTGGTTGCTTGTCTGCCTTCATACAAGTCAAAGAGTAACAGTCTTTGGAGCCTGGACTCTTCTATCCGCATTTCTACTGAAACATAATTGTAACCCAGAAAGATCTGCGAGAGATGTAGCTTTCTGGCTCAGTCTAGTTTCTAACTAGATTTTTGGCTAAACTCAAGCTCATCTCCTCATCTAAGTGCCTCTTGCTTAGGCTTTGTTCCTCAGACAGGTCTCACAGTGTGTGTGTGTGTGTGTGTGTGTGTGTGTGTGTGTGGCTTTGCTTCTTGTCTTCTGCCCCACTTGATTTATTGAGACCCTTCTCATTCTGTACTGCCACCTCCTCCATGAAGCCGCCTTAAATCCTCTACCAGGATGAGTGTCTTCCTCCGGCCCTGTGCTCTCACAGACCCTTACCTGTGTTTCTGACATGCGGTTGTCACAGACTGCTGTGCATTTTAGCTAGGCACGTACCTCAGGAGACAGAAACGTGAGGGGAGGAACAACATCTTTTTTTAAATCTTTGCCATGCCTAGGACCATGCTTTAGTAAATGGTTATTGAATTGACTTGCAGAGTGGTCAGTGAGGACATTTACCAATAACTCTCCACTTGTTTTTTCATGTTTAATAAAGATTCCCTTTGGTAAGCTTATCCACGTTCACAACACTGACTACAGTGGGTCCACTTTGCATTACAGGTTTCAGTCTCCCCATGAGCCCTGTAATGGGGTGGGTCACTCCCCCCTCGAGGACGCTGCATTCTCATCATGCAACCAGCCCCCTAGTCCTGGTCACTGGTCTCTAAGCCCCTGCCCCGTCCACTTTATTCTGAGATTTCTTGCGGGAACAGAAAGTGCGGGAGGCATATTCTGAGGCCTGCACTTTCCCGCAGCCACCGTGCCGTCCATGATGCTCAGCCACGCTGCCTCCTGCCAGGGCTCTGCGATGGGCCACGGGGCATTTCGCTCCGTTTCTTTTCTGGGGCAGCAGAACCCCCCAGTGCCTTTGTCCCCCACGCTGCGGCTGGGTGCCTCGTGCTCTCTCTGGCTGAGACAGGGTCCTGACCATCTACTTGGGAAGATCACAGTCCTTGTTTGCATGCAGCTCCCACCCTCAGCCTGCTCTGGGGCAGAAGCCTGCTTTGATCTGCACGCAGGCCTGGAAGGTTACGGCCCTAATTAATTCATGCATAACAATCTGAATTTCCTTTTCATTTGCAGTAAAGCATATTCATTTCAAAACTTTCACAATGCTGGCATTCTTAAAATTCCAATTGAATCTTATTTTCACAAGTACGATCAGGGTGATCCATGGATAACACTGAAACAAAAAGATAATGAAAAAAATGTTTCTTTTAAATTACAGAAAACTGTCTCTGTTAGAAGACTAGCTCCTGTCATATAAGCCAGTTGGTGAAAGACGGATACCATATGATCTCACCTATGAGGGGAATCGAATGAACGATAAACTAATGAACAAAATAGAACCAGAGGCACAAAAACATGGAACAGGCTGACAGTGACCAGAGGAGAAGTGGGTGGGGGACAATGGTGGAAAAAAGGGGAAGGGACTAGACAAAGAGCATGTGTGGATGACCCACGGACACAGACAACAGTGAGAGAACTGACTGTGGGAGTGGGGGGTGGGGTGGGATGGGTGCAGAGGAGGGCAAAGGGGGAAAAATTGGGACAACTGTAATAGAATAACAATAAAAATGAGTTAAAAAGTTATAATAAGCAGCGGAGTGTCAACCACTTCTTCATCAGAATCTGGTTTTTGTTATGTGAATGAACCAGTTTATTAATCCAACCCCGTCGATGGAAATGTCATAAAATTGGAAGAAAAATAAAGAGTGTGAGCGAGATCATGGATATGAAAGCACTTTGTAAACAGCGACGTGCTTTATAAATGTGACATATTGTTATAGCTTGACTTCTGCAGTTCCCTTCCCCACGGTTAGAAAATATTAGAGGTCCCTTGACTCCTGTCAGACTCCTTTTTAATGAATTTTAAGCCTTATTCCTAAAGGCAGGGCAGTGATACTGGCAGGAAAAGTGCTTAATAATTTGTTTATGGTAAAATGTGATCCTAATTAGTAGATCTCATTAGTTTCAATAAGGCATCACTCCAGCTCCTTCCCTCACCCCTCCAGTCACTCAGCCAGCACGTCCCAGTGCCTTTGCCGACAAGGTCTATCTCTTACCTGTGTGTTCGGTCCCACCGCCACCACCTGAGCGTGGGGCCTCTCATGCCACACCTGGGCAGTGGCCGCTCACACCCGTCCCCAAGCCACCTTCCACAGATCCAGAGGGTTCTTTGAGAAACAACTCATGTCATGTCACCCAACAGTGGGTTCCTCATCATGGTCCGCAAGACTCCACAAGGCGTGAAGGAGCCCTGTTTGCTTTCCACTTCTTGTACCAGCTCTGTCTCCCACGCTGGCCTTATTTTTCAGTCCCTCAAATACCCGAAGCTTCTTCCTGCCTCTGGCGTGGCCGCTGCTGACCCTGCTGCCTGGAACACTTCCGCCCCAGAACTCGTGGGCTGGGGGCGCATCTGTGGGGTTGCAGCTCAAGCGCTCCTTCCCTAGGAGCCTCCGCCATCTCTAGCCTCCTTACTTTCTCTTGGCTCTAACTTTCTGGCATCATCTCATTTACGTAATCACTTATTTATTGATCTCTTCCTGCTCAAAGATAAGTTTGGTGAGGGCAGAACTCTCTCTCTGTTGTTCTCTGCTGTTTCTGCAGAGCTTAGTCCCGGGCTTGGCACAGAAGGGGCTCTCATCTGTTTGCCGGGTAAATTCCTGCTAACTAAAGGCAGGAGTTACTGACTGAGAAGAAGAAGAGGAGGAAATGTTCCAATATGGTGATTTGGTTTTATGTTGACAGCATGCTAGAACAACTTGTAAAATTCAATGCCATGGAGGCAAATAGTCAAAATGACATTGTCACGAATTGCTGGTTAATTCCATTACAGAAGTAACTCGTTGAGAAAATAACAGTGGGTGATACAGAATTCAATAGCTAGCTATGTCTTTTGGTTAAATTAGCCATAAGTGCTTATGGGGCTTATGAGGCTTGAAAGGCTTTTTGGTCAAATTTTACAAATTAAAAACAAAAAACAACTATAGACTACAGATCATAGATTTTTACAGGAAATAATTGTTTCCAGGGTTATTCCTCATGTCCATTTTGAAATGCATGAGATTATAATTTCATTCTTTCCATATGTCTTATGCATTTATTCTAGTGTGTATCATCTCATGGTAGAATGTGCTCATACTACAAATGTATTTCATGCTCCTCCTGCATGCCAGGCCCTCCCTTTGCCACTGCACAGCATGAGGGACCGTGGCAGGTAAAATCCCTGCTCCAGGGATGGTCGGCTAATGGTTTCCCCTCCAGGGACCCAGGCACTGCCTCCTTCATGGGGTTTCAAGGAAGCCAGAAAGTGACAGCAGGTTGGCCTCGTGGTTCCAAGAAAAGCCCATATCTTGATTCTCGTATCTGTGACAAAGAAAGGCAGATGAGGTTAAAGGATCTTAAAATGAACTTCAGAGTTAGGCCATAAGAACACTTAGGCTCCCAGTAAAAGCCTGCCAAGAAGTGAGAGAAAGTTTTGGCGAATTCAGAGTCTTTTCAGACTCACTGGTCTCCGCGGGCAAAACCAGACCGGGGCTTGTCATTCTTGGTACCTTGTCACTGATAAGGCCACGCCTAATTGGAAGATAAATGAGCTGATGGAGTTTGGGATTAGATGGCAAATAACTGGAACTAAATTTTGTTTTGTTGGATTTCAAAATGGCTCAGGAACAATTGGACCAAATTTTCCCCCAAATTAACATCGGTAAAAAAGATTAAGTTTAAAAAAAAAAAAAGACCCTCCAGGGCAGTGTTGTATCCTGATTTTTGCTCGAACCAAACTTTTCCCAGTTTTTCCATCCTTAGTTGACAAAGACATAAACTTGAGGGTGTTGGCAGGTTTTGAAGCCTTTAAGATTATTGCGAAATCTGAGTTCCAAGTTTTAGAAATGTTTAAAGAAGGGGCTTTTTTTCTCGACATTTCTAATTTCAGCTAAGTATTGAAATATACCACCCATATAATAATTATGGGTCATAGAATTTCAGAGCTGGAAGGAACCCCAGAGACAATTTAGTCTAGTGCTTGCACTTCTACGGAGGTAAAAGCTCAGACCCGAGGAGGCAAGTGGGCTCGCTTTAGGTTGTACAGGAGCCTTACTGCGCCGAGCTGGAGCCTGAGTTCCCTTCGTCTTAGGGAAATGCCTGTTACTGGACAGGTCCTGCCTCACTTTCTTATTTATGAAGCTCTATAAAGTTCCTGGAATTTTGGCCTGCTAAAAATACGAGATTTTGATGGTCAGACAATTTAACAGTTAGTCTTACAATCATAGTCTCACTTTTTCCTCTGGGATGAGGCAGTTCAGAGGTAACAGGGTCTGAGGATGCTTGGAGTGGAATGTAAAGAAGATTTAAGGGGTTGGAACCAGACAGAATCAGTTCATGGCGTGAACACATTGCGGTTGGAAACCTACTTTTCCCCTCTGATGTTTCTGCTGATGGCAACTCTATTCTTGAGTTTTGAAGCCCACACTCTCCCCCATTGCCTCATGGGAGGCAGCTGACAGCCCAAAGCTGAGATGGCCAAATGAGTAAAATATCTTTGTGAACTTCTGCTTTCCTGAGAAGGGTGTGTCCTTCCAGGCTACCTTAGTTTCTGATTTCATTGCCTGTTCCTCACAGCTAGGAGCTACCTCGCACTGAACCACATGAATGGAAAGTAGAGAAAGTGCTTTCCACTGCAGCGGGGCTGCCTCAGGCCTCTGGGGTGAGGTGGGGTGTTGGTCATCAGCTTTCTTTGACTGCCAAAGCCAAGCCACACAAATACAAAGGAGGACCCTGCGAGCCTTTACTGCAAATTGACATGTTCTTTCTCCTTTGTCTTTTTTTTTCAATACAGGAAGGGACCCCACCCCTTATATGGTAACTGTGTCCAGACAGGGAGGGATATGGATATAAATGAGAATTTAAAAGGTACTAAGTGAGGAGGAATTTTGGCAGGAAAGAATCGGGACGTGTCGCCTGAGTGGTGATGGTGTGACTCAGCCCTTTGAAAATACTTAGGAGTTACCTAGTTGCAACCAGAGTTTTGTGTTTTATTTTTTAACTGCTCTTTAGAAAGCTGTCTTAAGTGTTTGAGGTACATGGTCACGTCTGCTTCACTCACCCCCAATGTGCATGCCCATCCCGGGCACATACACACCTTACAGTGGTGTTTCCTGAGGCTGTGGGCACCTCAGCATGTGCAAGTGAAGGAGAAAGTGAGCGAGTCGGCAGTTGGAAGGCAGCTCTGGAGGGAGCAAGTAACATCGGTGATCCGCAGGCCGTATCCCCTTCCAGGCTGCTGCTCCCAGCTCCTTTTGGAGCTGTGCCTGGGGAAAAAAGTATATTTGAATTTTCCTTGGAGACACTGTTAAACTGTATTTTATTAATTAGTGTCCACTTAAATTTGAGTCAATACCCAGAGAAATTAGTCTGGCTTTTAAATCAGGAAAATACATAATAGGGATAAAATATACTGATGATAAAATATAAAAATAATAGGTATGAAGTTTACTGTCAAAATTGCTTACATTTATTGGCTTTTATACATGCCTTACATATATACATTCCAGAATACTTCATTAGTTGGATTCTTTTTAAGACAACACATAGATTTACCACATCCAAAACATTCTGACGACTATGGAACCATTCATATTTAAAAGTACTTACTAAGTACTAATAACTGATAATACCAACAATATTGAGTTCACTCGACTTAAGTGAAGAACCACAAGTGAAGTTCCTATTTTCCATAAAGTTTATCTGGCAGACATTTTCTGCTTTGTGTTCAGGAGAGCAAGCAGAGCCTTTTGGTGTCAGAGTTTAGCTGGATAATCCACATTGCATCTGTGGAATTGGTCAAGGTCAGAGAATTTCTCTTCCTTTCCTGTGGCTTAGGAACTAAGTTGTTGATATAGTTATTCTCTCTGGCATCTAGATGATGAATTTTGCACAGACCCACATCAAGGGAAAAAAGAGGCCCTTTCTATGTTAGATTTGCAGAATGACTTCAGATGTTTTGACTGGATAGCTGCAAAAAAGAATGAAAACAGTACAAGTCATGATCTCCATTGCTGCCTTCCAAAACCCTCTGGGCTCTGTTATGGTTAGTTATCTATTGAAATGCCACACTGTGGCCCTTATCCAGAGTAGATTGGTTTTATTATTCCTCTTATGATCTTATTAATGTTTTGTTGACTTGTTTTATATTTTAGGAGATGTCTGTCATCAGCACCTTCTATCTAAAGTAGAAAGAGTTGGTATGGATGATTTTTTTTAATGAGAATTTTTTATGTAAACATTCTACATAGAAATGCATGCACATAACCACATGCAAAGAGTTTTGAGTTGGTTTCTTGCACATTCTTCTTCACTGACTATGGAAGCCATCGAATTGTCTTAGGACCCTTGCCCCATGGGATGGCCACGGCACCAACAGATCCTTTTGACGACAAATGTTATAGTTTCTGAAAGCTGAGCTACTGTCAATTCTCTCCACTCAGATACTGTGGGAAGATCACCTGTTGGATTGTTGGGAGAAGTTTACAGGGTAGGATAGAAGATAATTTTGCTTCTTGCTGATGTCTCTCATCTCTACTTGGTTACAGTGAAGTTGTATACTTGAGAAAGCCAACATTGGTGCGCACATGCATTCTGGGAGTCACCTTCAATTTTTCCAGAGAGTCTGCTCTGTGGTATTAATTTTAGTTGTGTCCAGAGATATATTTGAAGATCGATGTTACTCAGATTTTTCAGATTGGGTGGTGATGGCCAGAGTGGTCATGAGTCGGGTAGGATGTGCCTGTATGAACCAACATCACTGACTTGGAGAGCCACAAAGAACCCTTCTCCAGAATTTCTACTTTTACTTGACATTTAAGTGTACTTGCCCATGTTGTACAGTGGTGGGGTCCTTAGATGGCTCATTTGTGCCTCACCTTACCCTACCAAATGACCACCAAAGAATTGGCTGTGACGGCCCAACCTTTTCTTACAGCCCCCTGGCTTCTTTGTGCACACTCAGAAAGTGGGCAGTACCCAGCAGTCTGCTTCTGTCCTCATCTCATGGACCCTTTATTGGTGAAATGATCTTCCTGCTGTTCTTTACCAGTATCACTCACATGCACATTATCATAATGTATTCATATGTGGTTGTCCTATTTAGGTCTGAGGATAAGACCTCACCCTGTGAGTAAAGAACAGCATGTTCTCTGAAGGAGGTGGTCAGCTTAAGTTTCAGTCCCAGGGAGGAGACCTAGCCTGAGACAGGACTCCAGAGCAATGGACAATGCCCTTCCTGTAGTTTTCTCTCTTGGGCTTTGTCTCTTAGGAGCTGAGATGTTTTGGAATGTGCTCTGGATGGTGGGTACAAAGATGGCACCCACCAAGAGGAACCAGACCCAGGACTGGGGTAGGATAGGCCCCACATCCAGGAGAACGAGCTGTATTTTACAAGTTGGATGGATGATCTAGTTACATGTTTCCATCTTAACCTCTTTCCCTTAATTTGTGTAAAGCCTTTAGGGCTTTCTTACATGTACTGGCCTGGTCTCAGTTGGACATCAAGGGGAAGATTTGGGCTATACCGAGTCTGGAGTGTTAGAGGGGGCAGTGCTTTTTAGGCTGACTGGGACTGTGGCAGCAGCAGGAATCAGAGAGAAATACCCAAGATGGAAGGCAGGGCAGGGGGTGAATCTGAGCATCAGGGCTGCGATACTGCTCCACTGATGAAAGAAATTCTGTCCCCCGCACCCATGTTAGAGGACTGGGGAGTGGTTTCTTCAGGAAAGAAAACACTGACAGCTCTTTGGTACTTTGTTTCTAGAGTGTTTTTGGTGGTGTTGTAATTGTTGAATATCTTCCTGGTTTATTTATTTGTTTCAAAAATAAGTTGAGCAACAACTGTCTCAACTAACAGAGGCCAGGACATCTTGTTTGAAACAAATAGTCTGTATCGACCTCTACAGATAAAGCGACTGCTTGGCTCTATACGATCATCATAAGCAGGTATTTTTCTTTCTTATAGACAAAATTAAGGAAGCAGGTGTTACGTTGTTTGGAGACTGAACAGTTCATATGGAATGAAGCAAATGTCAGCTGAAATAATGAAGTTGCAGGCCCTTTGAATAGTTAACTGATCTTTTCCCCAGCATCTATAAATATGACATCAACACAAGACCACCCCTTTGCAGCCCAGCAGTATGTGAAAAGCTACCAATGATGACGAATGTTTAAGCCAACCAAAATGATTTGTTAACATGCTTCTATCTGTGGTTTGAACTGAATCCATCACTTAAGACAACTTAAAGTAATCCAGCTGCACAGCGCCACCTGTAGGAAAACTCCGTGTGGGTGACACAGGACTCCGCCACACTGGCAGTTTCCTTTCCAGAAACCTGATATTTATTTTTCTTAACTTCTGAATTGAATGACTATAGCATGTTATAAACTGTTTTCTTTCTTTTTTTTTAGAACTTAAGGACAAAAAATGCTTTCTAGTCATAGCATCGTGACTCATAGTTTTGGGGCTGAATATGTCTCAAGTGTTCTTAATTGATTTTAAAAGAAAACAACCCATTATTACCAACACATTTTCTAAAGCTTCGGTGAGACATTACATTTGACATTTTCACAACACTAGAAACTCTAAGGCGACAGAACCATTTCTGCCTTCTCCACAGGTGGAGTCCTTGCACCTAGCTCAGTGCTTTGTGCAGAGCAAGTCCTCAGTAGACGTTTGTTGAATGAATGAGTACACAGTCTCTTCGTCCACTCCTCTGTTAGGGTATGCCTTATTAGTGGTTTCAGTTCAGATGCCCTTCCATTGTGGAGACTTCCCCAGACCCCCTAAGACAGAACAACCAAGTACTGGTTGATCCCTTTCATAGTGACCAGGTCCCCCTCCCCCCACCAAATTTCTTCTTATATTGATTAATTTGTAGTTTATTTCTTTAATGTGTGTCTAATCCATTTGATAGAAAGCTCTGTGAGGATGAAGCTCAGGCTGTTTTGTTCTACACTCTAGCCAAGTGCCTGGCGCAGAGTGGTGCTCAGTCAATGGTAGACAGTTGGGTGGGCGAGTCCGTGTCACCTGCCCACCTGCACATTCCACAGTGCCAGCTCTGTGCTGGCCCTCTTCCAGCCTTGGGCAGTAAAGAACAGTTAAGGAGACTGCAGGGAATGGCCACTACACCTCTTATCTCAGCAAATTGTTAGAGACTGAGTGGCTACAAAGAGTAGGTTTTATTGTACAGCCAGGTTATATGCCAGGGTTTCCAGATTTGGGATAGAGGACTCCTCTATTTCAATGTGTTACAATAGGGCATTAGATAGGCTCTGGATGCAACTCTGGCTCTACTAACAAACCCTGGGCAGATTATAACAACCTTTCTGAAACTCTTTTTCTAATACGTAAATTTAAGACACAAGTCGGTCCTCCTTCATGTGGTTATTTAGAAGATTAAACAAGACAATGTATGTAAAGAACATAGTTTAGTGCTTGGCACAGAACAAAGAATAAGTACTCAATAAAAGTTATTATTAAATTAATAATAGCATTTGAAGTCCATCAGTGGGCAAGCAGTGTCCCAGGACTCGATTAGGTGGTAATTAAATGTATTCAACAATGTCTTGTGCTCAACTTCAGTGAAAGGAGTTATTGCTCTGCTTTTAATGGCTATAACATTCTACTCAGCTAAATAATGGAATCAGATGAATTCCCTACAGTAAAAGCTGGATTTAGTAAGATCTGGAAGGTTATGGCATAAGGTTTACTATCACTGCAGATTAAAACATTTCTGTGCCCCCAATAGTACTGTTATTTGATAGTGTATGATGGCTGGTCTTCTAAAATTTTCTTAATAAGAAAAATTAACCAGGTAAAATAGGAGTTTTTAAAGAAATCTATATCTATAACCTCAGCAAATTGTGCTATATAAACAATATCCCATGGTAAAAAAAACAATTATGTAAATACCCTTTAAAAAATCTTTTGTCAAAAGCATATTACAAATGTACTAGACTTTTTCCTTACTGGAAAATATACTCTTTGAATATAAATGTTTAAAAATGTTTAGTCTCATTGACATGGCACAATTATATATAACAATTGTGTATATATATGTATATTACGATTTAGATAATTTTCAGTGACAGGTGAGACCTAAATTACAGGAACAGGAAACCCAATTATTTCAACTTAAATAATCTTGCTAACCAAAGTCAGTTATTTCCAGGGAACAAAGGCAATGGCTTTTTAAATTTTCTTACTTACCAGTATATTAATAGTTTTGTTATCATGTCGTGTTAAATTACATCGGAGTTATTC